GCACCACCAATCTGTGACCAGTAACACCAGTCAGTGACTAGCATCACCAGTCAGTAACCAGTAACATCAGTCAGTGACTAGCACCACCAGTCAGTGACTAGCACCACCAGTCAGTAACCAGTAACACCAGTCAGTGACTAGCACCACCAGTCAGTGACTAGCACCACCAGTCAGTGACTAGCACCACCAGTCAGTAACCAGTAACACCAGTCAGTGACTAGCACCACCAGTCAGTGACTAGCACCACCAGTCAGTAACCAGTAACAACAGTAAAACAAGGTTGTAATAAACTGGCGTCGAGGCTATGACAAGACCTTCATCGGGTGATCAGAATACAATAGTATCATTGTCGAGGGTGAAATGAAAGTGTTTTGAGAGTCGTGGGAGATATCATGGTAGACAGTACTGTCTACTTACTGAGCTGTCCCAGGTTACGACCACCATAATTTTCTTTGTGTAACCATTGTAAGAGTTTAATGATAAGTTTGACCCAGGCCGGGCTCTGGGGTATAGCAAAGATAAAAGTATGATATATATATATATATAATATATATATATATATATATATATATATATATATATATATATATATATATATATATATATATATATATATATGCAATAAGATCACAGTAAACAGGTGATTTCAAAATATGCGAAACAACCACTGTAAAAGAACAGAGAAGTTCCAAGCGCTTTCGTGACTACTCACATTATCAAGGATAATGTGAGTAGTCACGAAAGCGCTTGGAACTTCTCTGTTCTTTCACAGTGATTGTTTTGCATATATATATATATATATATATATATATATATATATATATATATATATATATATATATTTATATATATATTTATATATATATATTTAGAGGTAAATTTTACAAATGTCTACTTACTTATTTTATTTTTTTATTATCACACTGGCCAATTCCCACCAAGGCAGGGTGGCCCGAAAAAGAAAAACTTTCACCATCATTCACTCCATCACTGTCTTGCCAGAAGGGTGCTTTACACTACAGTTTTTAAACTGCAACATTAACACCCCTCCTTCAGAGTGCAGGCACTGTACTTCCCATCTCCAGGACTCAAGTCCGGCCTGCCGGTTTCCCTGAATCCCTTCATAAATGTTACTTTGCTCACACTCCAACAGCACGTCAAGTATTAAAAACCATTTGTCTCCATTCACTCCTATCAAACACGCTCACGCATGCCTGCTGGAAGTCCAAGCCCCTCACACACAAAACCTCCTTTACCCCCTCCCTCCAACCCTTCCTAGGCCGACCCCTACCCCGCCTTCCTTCCACTACAGACTGATACACTCTTGAAGTCATTCTGTTTCGCTCCATTCTCTCTACATGTCCGAACCACCTCAACAACCCTTCCTCAGCCCTCTGTACAACAGTTTTGGTAATCCCGCACCTCCTCCTAAATGTCTACTTACATCCACTATATACTTATCTTTATTTTCTTGTGTTTTTTCTAAGTTCTTATTCCTGTAATATTTCTCTGACAGTTTAGGAGAGCTGGTCTGAGGCTGGACCGCGGGGGGGCTGGTCTGAGGCCGGACCGCGGGGGAGATGATCAGCTGTAGATGATCAGTAATCCCCCCCCCTCAAGGGAGGGATTACTTCTGGTGATGGCTTATTTGTCCGAGGAATTAGAGTCGCCGTTCCCTTTCTTGGATCAAACTTCATTACTTCCCCTTGCCTACGAATATCAGTGTGAGCGAGCGAACAGCAGTAGCAGAATGTAGTAGCAGTAGCAACAGCAACAGCAGCAGCAATAACAGTAGCAGTAGCAGCAACAACAGTAGAAGTACCAGTAGCAACAACAGTAAGATTATGGGGAGCGCTAAACCCGTAGGATTATACAGCGCCTGTGGGGGGGATGAAAGGCATTCAAGTTTAATTCAAGGAACTGGAGCACAGGTCCAATTCCCTAGATCAAGAGCCCCACACCAGCGTCAAGGAACCTCTCTTGAGGGGAACAACAACAGTAGCAGCTGCAACAGTAACAGCAACAACAGCAGCAACAACAACAGTAACAGCAGCAACAACAGCAGCAACAACAACAGAAGTAAGGGCAGAAGCAACAACAGCAGTAACAGCAACAGCAATAGTAACAGCAGCACCAACAGCAGTAACAGAAGCAGCAACTGCAGTAACAGCAAGAACAGCAGTAATAGCAGCAACAAGAACAGCAGTAACAGAAGCAACAACAGTAACAGCAGCAACAGCAACAGTAACAGCAGCAGCAGTAACAGCAGCAGCAGCAACACAACAGTAACATGAGCAGCAGCAACACAACAGTAACAGCAGCACCAAGAACAGTAACAGCAGCAGCGACACAGCAGTAACTGCAGCAGCAACACAGCAGTAACTGCAGCAGCAACAAGAGCAGTAGCTAACCTCTCATTCTAATACGTTCATTTTTTACGTGATTACCAACATAAATTTCATAATGGTCCCTTTAAACTTATAAATGCTGTCTCATTTAAGTTAGTTGAACTAAAAGCGAGTTAGAGTTGGGTTTAGTTAGGCTAAGGTTATGTTATGTTGGGTTAAGTAAGGTTACATTTGATCAGGTTAGGTTGTATTAACTTAACGTAAATATAGATAAGGATAATTTAAGTGAAGTTTGTTTGGTTATGTCAGTTTGGGTTATAATTGCATTCAGTTAATTTAAGTTGGGTTGTGCTGGTTGGGTTGTGCAGTCGAATACAGAGGAGGTAGCAGCAGTAAAGATGTTATCAGTCTATCACCCTCGAAGACGTAGTTTTGAGGTGGCCAGTCCCTTAGACTGGAGAAGAGTTCTGCTCCATGGAACAATGTGAAGTTGAAGTAACAGAATGTGGGACTTACACTGTCAGAGGTGAGGCGCAGATAATCTTGACAAGACAGGCGGAGCCAACTAGTAGAAGAAAGAAGGTAGTAAACACCTACTGGGTAGGTCATTCTCATATCTAGTGGGATTTGAGAGGGACAGAAACGATAGAACACAAGAGTAGCTTTTGTTAATACATTTTCCAGGCACAATAATTAGGCATTTCTCAATAACATTTTCATCATCAGTTTGGAATCCCGGTGTAGAGAAGCGAGCTTTGGAGCGGCCCACTGTTCTCTATAAATCATTGCTGTCTTGTACAAGAATAGTTTACAATACCGACAAGATGAAAATTAAGACGTGTGCAACCTCTGGGTATCCTTATTGTAGACCATACCCCCGGCCGGGATTGAACCCGCGGTCATAGAGTCTCAAAACTCTATGACCGCGGGTTCAATCCCGGCCGGGGGTATGGTTTATTTGCAATCGTGTCATTACGATTTCTTAAGTCTTATTGTAGACTTTTCACCATCCAGTGGCTTTATCAATACAAATTCTAGGACATAATTTCAATACAGAACTATATATAAAAGAAGAGGTAATCAGTCCCTCAGCCAAGGCTGTGGGACCGATTACCTCATATTTTGTATATAGTTTTACTGTCTTCAAATTATTCCCTAGAATTTGTATTGGTAAAGCCACTGGATGGGGAAAAGTCTACAATAAACATACCCAGAGGTTGTACATGTGTCTTTAGTTTTCATATTGCTATCTCGTGTACAATTCTGCTTTGTGAGGTGTTAGCTGTGGAGGACCATGTTGGCAATTTAGCTGGGTGTCCCCAGCTTCACTTAATTACCCTTTCTGTCTGATAACTGGTTTAGAAAACCGACAAGTTGAAGAATAACATATTTGTGTGTTATTCTTCGCCAGCCAGTAGCTTCTCGAGTCCAATTCAGAGAACGATGGAAGAAAAGAAATTTTAACTTTTGATATATTCAGTCTGTCAGTTGATGGACCGAATATATCAACTCCAGGCCGAGGGACTGATGACCTCAAAATTCCTCTTCTTCCACCGTTATCCTTTGAGTTGGACTGAAGAAGCCACTGGCTGGCGAAACGTTGCACCGTTTCTGTGTAGCCAGATTGCTGTACTGCTCTCATCTTCAGATGAGCGGCTAGTGTAACTAACTTTGATCGATGATTAATGTCACAGAGAATGAACACTGCCGTTCCGGTACGGGATGTCCGTTGATGACTTCTGGGAGTACTTGTTGCTGTACAATCACTGTATGACGCGTGCAGTCCTTCACCCGTGACGTTCTACACTCTGGTTGCACTGGACATAGAATGTTTCTGAATCTCGTGCCATAAGTCTTGTCAACAACTGAAGTTAGTATAAATAATAAAGCAACACACTTCAAAGGATACCTTCTCAGATCTGACAACATGTTAGGTCAATGGTCCAAGTCGGACCGAAACGTCGTCGTAAGCTTCTGTCTTTTATGTGCGGGTTATTTGTGTATCGTTCCAGTCACGGTATTGTGCCTTTTTGTTATTTATGTTAGGTAATTGCATATCTTTCAAAATCTGTCCTCAGTGAAACCAGCATAAACAAATTTGTTAAATAAAATACTGGTGCAAATAATATATATGTAATTATGCTTATCGGAAATATATAGAAAATTAAGCTAAACGGGAAGATTATTACTGAACATGGTTCACAGGTAACCAAATCTTATTGTCGATCTATTCTTACATATAATATATATATCAGCATTATCTCTCGGTCCACAGCTGGTGACGTGAGGTGGGACTCAGTCATTCCAGAGTTTAAACAGAAATGACGGGATCAGTAATGAGGGTGAGCAGAACATTTTAAACCCAGGGACACACCAGTTGCTTAACCATTGGTCGTTTGATGCATCCTAGTTGATGGTTAATGCTGACTATGCTTGTTAGTACTGTCACTATGCTAGTTAATACTCACTATGGTAGTACTATCACTAGGGTAGTAGTCGTCATTGTGGTAGTTAATACTATATTCATTACGATAGTACTATCACTATGGTAGCCACTATAGTAGTTAATACTACCATTATGGTAGTTAATACTATGTTAGTTGTTAGAGTACCTCGACCATGTAGCTAATTCCTTCTGTTTTCTTTTTTCAGGCCATTAAAACAACCGTTTAGACAACTAAGGCAAGTTAAAATAAATTAACCCGAATAGAACAAGAACTTTTAATGACTAATCCTCTGCTTTTAGTAACATAGAATGTGCCACAATGTATGCTATTGTATTGAGATGCTCCGGCAGTGAGCAGCAACAGCCTGGTAGATCAGGCAGTCATCAGGGAGGTCTGGCCTTGTTGCCTGGCCGCGGGAGTAGAGCTCTGGAAACCAGTCACAGGTATGTTACCCTTCAGTTGTGAGCTGTGGAGTATCACAGGTAGGTAACCTTTGTTAATGGTTCCGGGGCCTCGCGGGGCGCTCTCAGACCAGCTCTCTTAATTAGAAAGGAAATATTAAGCAGCGCCGCACAGGACTGTGATTGTGAGTATTGCTGGATGTAAGTTGAAGTATGCAAGTATTACCCGTCATGCATGTTTATGAGACGGAAAAGATCAGCAATCCTGCCAGAGCGCTAAACATATACCAGGCTCTCTCTCTCTCACACACACACACACACACACACACACACACACACACACACACACACACACACACACACACACGAGACAAGAAAGAATGTTAGTCCCTACTAGGATGCTTTGTGTTTACTGTTTTAATAACACACTGGAGTTAATCCAAGAAATGTGTTCGTCATTTTTAGTAGTGGTTTTCGCTTGTTTTCTTCTTCGTCATGACTTGTTACTGTGCCTCAGTGTAAATCTCAGGTCGAGGCAGTGTCCGGAAACGAGGTTATGGTGTAACATGTTCGGGATGAGAGATACGAGAATGAACTTGTCATTACAAAAACACTGGGATGTGTTAAAGACTAGAGTTATATATGTTACCTCAGACTTACTTAAAGACGATTCCGAAGATCACCGTCCCTGCAGCCCTCTGCCAGATCAGGCCTTCTTGTCGATAGCCTGATCAACCAGGCCGCTGTTACTAGCCTCTCCGCAGTCCGACGTGGTTCTCTGTGCATTCTCAAATTTTGCTGTTTTTTTACGAACACAAGTGTAAACTATTTGGCCTGCACACATTGCTGTAATAAGATAACTGCTTTGGAACGAGCAAAAGGGCAGCAGAGTAAATGATTGCATTTCCTTCACCAAAACAACCTGGTATTTACAATGAATATATGAATATATGGTATTTACAATTATATATGAATCTTTCCTCCGTAAGCCATGCGTGTCGTATGAGGCGACTAAAATGCCGGGAGCAATGGGCTAGTAACCCCTTCTCCTGTAGACATTTACTAAAAAAGAGAAGAAGAAAAACTTTATAAAACTGGGATGCTTGAATGTGCGTGGATGTAGTGCGGATGACAAGAAACAGACGATTGCTGATGTTATGAATGAAAAGAAGTTGGATGTCCTGGCCCTAAGCGAAACAAAGCTGAAGGGGGTAGGGGAGTTTCGGTGGGGGGAAATAAATGGGATTAAATCTGGAGTATCTGAGAGAGAGCAAAGGAAGGGGTAGCAGTAATGCTAAAGGGGTCAGTTATGGAAGGAGAAAAGAGAATATGAATGTGTAAAATTCAAGAATTATGTGGATTAAAGTAAAGGTTGGATGCGAAAAGTGGGTCATAATAAGCGTGTATGCACCTGGAGAAGAGAGGAATGTAGAGGAGAGAGAGAGATTTTGGGAGATTTAAGTGAATGTATGGGACCCTTTTGAACCAAGTGGGAGAGTAATTGTGGTAGGGACCTGAATGCTAAAGTAGGAGAAATTTTTAGAGAGGGTGGGGTAGGTAAGTTTGGGGTGCCAGGTGTAAATGATAATGGGAGCCCTTTGATTGAACTTTGTATATAAAGGGGTTTAGTTATAGGTAATACATATTTAAGTAAAAGAGGATAAATAAGTATACAAGATATGATGTAGGGCGAAATGACAGTAGTTTGTTGGATTATGTATTGGAGATAAAAACTGTTGAGTAGACTTCAGGATGTACATGTTTTATAGAGGGGCCACAGATATACCAGAAACACTTCTAGTTGTAGCTACACTGAGAGTAAAAGGTAGATAGGATACAAGGAGAATAGAAGCATCAGGGAAGAGAGAGGTGAAGGTTTTAAAACTAAAAGAGGAGGCAGTTAGGGTAAGATATAAACAGCAATTGGAGGATAGATGGCTAATGAGAGCATAGGCAATGGGGTCGAAGAGGTATGGGGTAGGTTTAAAAATGTAGTGTTAGTGTTCAGCAGAAGTTTGTGGTTACAGGAAAGTGGGTGCGGGAGGGAAGAGGAGCGATTGGTGGAATGATGATGTAAAGAGAGTAGTAAGGGAGAAAAAGTTAGCATATGAGAAGTTTTTACAAAGTAGAAGTGATGCAAGGAGGGAAGAGTATATGGAGAAAAAGAGAGAGGTTAAGAGAGTGGTGAAGCAATGTAAAAAGAGAGCAAATGAGAGAGTGGGTGAGATGTTATCAACAAATTTTGTTGAAAATAAGAAAAAAGTTTTGGAGTGAGATTAACAAGTTAAGGAAGCCTAGAGAACAAATGGATTTGTCAGTTAAAAATAGAAGAGGAGAGTTATTAAATGGAGAGTTAGAGGTATTGGGAAGATGGAGGGAATATTTTGAGGAATTGTTAAATGTTGATGAAGATAGGGAAGCTGTGATTTCGTGTATAGGGCAAGGAGGAATAACATCTTGTAGGAGTGAGGAAGAGCCAGTTGTGAGTGTAGGGGAAGCTTGTGAGGCAGTAGGTAAAATGAAAGGGGGTAAGGCAGCCGGGATTGATGGGATAAAGATAGAAATGTTAAAAGCAGGTGGGGATATAGTTTTGGAGTGGTTGGTGCAATTATTTAATAAATGAGTGGAAGAGGGTAAGGTACCTAGGGATTGGCAGAGAGCATGCATAGTTCCTTTGTATAAAGGCAAAGGGGATAAAAGAGCGTGCAAAAATTATAGGGGGATAAGTCTGTTGAGTATACCTGGTAAAGTGTATGGTAGAGTTATTATTGAAAGAATTAAGAGTAAGACGGAGAATAGGATAGCAGATGAACAAGGAGGCTTTAGGAAAGGTAGGGTGTGTGTGGACCAGGTGTTTACAGTGAAACATGTAAGTGAACAGTATTTAGATAAGGCTAAAGAGGGCTTTGTGGCATTTATGGATTTGGAAAAGGCGTATGACAGGGTGGATAGGGGGGCAATGTGGCAGATGTTGCAGGTGTATGGTGTAGGAGGTAGGTTACTGAAAGCAGTGAAGAGTTTTTACGAGGATAGTGAGGCTCAAGTTAGAGTATGTAGGAAAGAGGGAAATTATTTCCCAGTAAAAGTAGGCCTGAGACAAGGATGTGTGATGTCACCGTGGTTGTTTAATATATTTATAGATGGGGTTGTAAGAGAAGTAAATGCGAGGCCCTTGACAAGAGGCGTGGAGTTAAAAGATAAAGAATCACACAAAGTGGGAGTTGTCACAGTTGCTCTTTGCTGATGACACTGTGCTCTTGGGAGATTCTGAAGAGAAGTTGCAGAGATTGGTGGATGAATTTGGTAGGGTGTGCAAAAGAAGAAAATTAAAAGTGAATACAGGAAAGAGTAAGGTTATGAGGATAAAAAGATTAGGCGATGAAAGATTGGATATCAGATTGGAGGGAGAGAGTATGGAGGAGGTGAATGTATTCAGATATTTGGGAGTGGACGTGTCAGCGGATGGGTCTATGAAAGATGAGGTGAATCATAGAATTGATGAGGGGAAAAGGGTGAGTGGTGCACTTAGGAGTCTGTGGAGACAAAGAACTTTGTCCTTGGAGGCAAAGAGGGGAATGTATGAGAGTATAGTTTTACCAACGCTCTTACATGGGTGTGAAGCATGGGTGATGAATGTTGCAGCGAGGAGAAGGCTGGAGGCAGTGGAAATGTCATGTCTGAGGCCAATGTGTGGTGTGAATATAATGCAGAGAATTCGTAGTTTGGAAGTTAGGAGGTGCGGGATTACCAAAACTGTTGTCCAGAGGGCTGAGGAAGGGTTGTTGAGGTGGTTCGGACATGTAGAGAGAATGGAGCGAAACAGAATGACTTCAAGAGTGTATCAGTCTGTAGTGGAAGGAAGGCGGGGTAGGGGTCGGCCTAGGAAAGGTTGGAGGGAGGGGTAAAGGAGGTTTTGTGTGCGAGGGGCTTGGACTTCCAGCAGGCATGCGTGAGAGTGTTTGATAGGAGTGAATGGAGACAAATGGATCTTAATACTTGACGTGCTGTTGGAGTGTGAGCAAAGTAACATTTATGAAGGGGTTCAGGGAAACCGGCAGGCCGGACTTGAGTCCTGGAGATGGGAAGTACAGTGCCTGCACTCTGAAGGAGGGGTGTTAATGTTTCAGTTTAAAAACTGTAGTGTAAAGCACCCTTCTGGCAAGACAGTGATGGAGTGAATGATGGTGAAAGTTTTTCTTTTTCGGGCCACCCTGCCTTGGTGGGAATCGGCCAGTGTGATAATAAAATAAAACGTATAGCCTATGTACACTAAGGCGAATGCAATCACGAGACACTGTAAGAACCATAACGACTAGCTGTAAGGGCAAGTCTGACAGAGCTGTTTCAGGAGTGTAGGACATCGCTTCACAGCTTTGGCGGGCTTCCTTGTGATTGGCTGGTTGAACCATTTAATGGTATAACGATGGGGGACTCTGCTTGTTAAACCCTTAGCACCTGGTTTGCTGGTCGGGAAGCATGCCTATATGGGTGTGTGGCATACACCAAATAAAATGTAACATGGTTTAGAAAGACACGTAAGCAAACACTATGACATATATATTAGAAAACGTTTCGGTCCTGGGACCTTGATCACTTCTGAGAAGTGATCAAGGTCCCAGGACCGAAACGTTTTCTAATATGTCTAAGTGTTTGCTTACGTGTCTTTCTAAACCAACTTGTCGGTATTTATTACCAAGGTTTATACCAAAATGTAACATAATTAGCATGGCTAATGGCTGTTATTAAAGAACCATATTCCTATCTTCAGAGCACAAGTGACTTAGATTCATCACTGGCTTGGCATCTCTTGAAGGTTTTAGTTATCCAGCTCCTC